AAAAGCAGGAGAAATATTGATCAATCACGTTTCTATGTGTCTGTGTCATTTATGGGGAGGGATCATATATCAGCTAAGAGAGAAATGCCTATTGTCTCACAGGTTCCTAACCCTAACGGTAACCCTAACGGACACTGCATTAACAAATAAAGACCAACCCTAAACAGGTTTAAAGCAACATTATGTAATTACTAATAGATGTGTAAGATCATTTTGTGTGTTTGTTTGCTTTTATGCCATTGCCAACAGAAAAGGAGGAGTAGCCAGCTTTTCTGTGCCAGGACACTTCATTTACATCCACCATTTGTTGCATCAGTCCATGAAATATAACACAGTAGTTATGAGGAACTGCGTGTTTTCCATATAACAGGCTGTTAGTCTGCTTATAGCAGCGAGATATGAGGAAGTCATGACTTACCATTGTGCTCTCTGGTGCCAGCTGCTGTTAAAATAAAACCAGGGAGAAGCTGTAAGGCTGTCTACACAACTTGACTGCAGACAAAGTTATCAGAATAAAACTCTAGGCCTATCAGAGTGATATAATGGCTGTGTCACTGTGGATCAGGAAGTTGTCTGCTTCCACTTATTCGACATCCATTAGTAATTACACAATGCTGTGTCTGTAAACCTCACACATACGAGTCAAGGCGCATAGACTACAGACAGACATCATCCACATGGGTTAACAGTTTTAAAATGATTTACTATGCCAGATGCCCTACTACACCTATACCAACGGCCCGTTTTCCGTGCGCCTTGTCACGGCTCTTCCAACGACAGGCACGACTCCCACAGTGCGCACATAAAGAAAGAACAGACATCAAACTTACCACTAGGAGCAGATTTCATCTAGACCTTGGCCCAGTCTGCAAACAGAAGTGATGAGGACGGGATGAGGACGGTTTGCATAGAAGACATCCCAGTACCAGTGTCTGCAGAGGAATGACAGTACTGGGACGGAAGGGTGGTTTATATTCTCAGGTGGGCGGTCATTTCCAAAGAAACGAAACCCGACCCCGGTGTGTGTGTGTGTGTGTGTGTGTGTGTGTGCTACACTGATGTCTTTTGGCTAAAAGCACGGTGACCAGTTTTTATTTACTGAGCCAGTGTTAAACCACCAAATGCCCTCAGCAGGCTATAATATCATATCATAATATTCATTCATAGAATAATAATATTATGCTAACTCTTCACGAACATACATGAACATTAGTCATTCTTACAAAAAACAGGAAGTGTAACGTTGTCACTGAGACACTTGCAGTTCTCTTTTAATTAGCCAGTTGCTTTTTGAAAAATTAAAGGTGCAGTGTGTGAGATTTACAAACGTGTTTGCAGTAATGAAATAAAGTATTTATAGTTTGTAATCATCTGAAAATAAGAGTGGTTGGGTTTTCATTAGTTAAGAATTCAATTCAGTGTTATTTGTATTGCATCAAGGCTGGGGAAAACCACATCCAGCACCCCCCCTCTGCACCTCCATAACTGGTTTGGCTCAGCAACCAAACAGGACAAGTACAGACTTCAGTGGACAGTCAGGACTGTAGAAAAGGTCATTGGTGTGAGCCTGCCCTCCATGGAGGACCTGTACACCTCACGGGTCAAAAGGAGGGTGGAGAGGATCACTGCTGACCCCTCACACCCTGGAACTCACCATACTTGGCAGCACTGTATCAGCAGTAAAGTCCTACAAGTTCCTGGGCTCCATTGTCTCCCAGGACCTGAAGGGCTGTCACTCTGATGAACACTTGACCCACGACAGTATGACTGGACAATAACCCTCAGTGCAATACCTGTAAATATACATTGTACAGATTATACAGATCTGTTCAGGTCTCTAGTTTTAAGTACTCTACTTTTATTCTTATTTATCTCATTTCACAACTGACCATTCCTTGTCTGTCTGCATTGTTTACTGCCTGTTAATACTGTTTATTTTGTTATATTACACAGCCTTATGCTGGTTTACTGTTTACTTGCCCCTTGCATGGGGATATGTCCATGCACATTGAGAGCTGATGTACCAGAGTCAAATTCCTCATGTGTCGGACACACCTGGCCAATAAAGCTGATTCTGATTCTGATTCTGATTAAATCACAACAATGATCATCTCAGGGTACTTTACATAGTGAGGTCTAGACCAGGGTTGTCTCGATCCAGGTTTTTTTTTTGTCCCAATACAGATCTGATTCTTTTAATATTAACTACCTGCCAACAGTAATTATGCCTTTGACTTCCTACAGACTGTGTAGGAAGCTGATGGCAAAGAGTTACTATACGAGTTGAGGGAGACAAAGGTTCTAGGCCTTCTGTCTTTGCTAGGGCTAAAGGATACTGAATAAGATTTGAAAGAATTCTGCTTGATCAAAAATAAAGAAAATAAACAAAATACAAAGACCGAAAATGAATAAAAATTTTAAACAAAAAAAAGTTACAATATTTTCTAATTTTTGCTCACTATATACCTATATCCATTTCTATTGCAGAGGGTTGGAGGGTGGGGTGGTGGGAGGTCCGAAGACAATCCCTGCCAACACTAGGTGAGACACAGGATCCACCCTGGACAGGTCAGCAGTCTATTAAAGGGCTGGCATACAGACACAATCACTCCCAATTTAAAGTCACCAGTCAACCTAAGTTACATGTCACTGGACTGTGGGAGGAAGCTGGAACATCTGGAGGAGAACATGCAAACTCCACACAGAAAGGCCCCGGTTGGCCCCCAGGTTCAAACTCAGAAGAGGCATTAATGAATATTAGAAATGGTGCATGTACAAGAATGACTGAATAAATAATTGTTAATCCAGAGTAGGCTGACACCCACAGCTCATCTCAGGTCTGGTTATTACACCTCAACACCACCGTACCTTTAGTAAGAGTAATGTAGTGCATATTTAAAAAACTTAAAATAAAATTGAGACTGCACTGCCTCTGTTAAGTATTATTTATATTGAAATGAGGTTATATGTGCACATATAGGGAGTCCAAAGTCCAAGGAGACGGTGCATGTATTTATTATTATATTTTTACCTGAGATAAACTGGTATCAAATAAATTTTATCTTCCAAACTAGTGTATGTAAAATAAATAAATGCGTTTTTTTTTTTAAACATGATGATGATGAGATTAACCACACAGGTTAAATACACCAATTAGCCTACATATGCAGTAAGCCAGCAGCTCCAGCACCAATATACATATACAGTATACTGGTACAGCTTCCCACATAGCAGACAGGTCCGGGCCAGGTCTGGCATCCAGCTGTTGGCATGGCAAGTGATAGATCAACCAGATGTGGGCCAGGTCTGGCAACGATGGCACTGCTTATATGATGGCATGCCGCATTGGTTTACTGCGAGTTCACTCAGCCTATTCAATGAAGTTTAACCAGCGGACCTCCCAGTGCACAATGAGTTATCACTCTGATCGTAGACTCTTCTCTTTATAGGCTGAAGAGCTCACTCATGGTGGAAATAGGTCAGTGGCTTCAGCATTGTTCCTACGCCGTCTGCCCGTCTGTAGATTTGTGATGCTGTGTTCATGTCGTATCACAGCAATAACAATATGTTAATGTGTCACTGGCACAGCTGTTTCAAAGCCACAAGACCAAAATTACACTTCATTGTTATGTGAAACAAGGTGAGACATGTTTGCATCCAGTGGCGATTTCACTCCCCTGAAGTTCAACCTAACTCAGTGGTGACCTGCAAAATCACGAGGCTGGTTTGAGAGAGGGGCTGGGACTTACAGTCCATCTGTCTAATTTAAGACATTTTTAATAATATTACTTTAATATCTAATGCACTTGCTGAATTAAAATACATCCACATCTCTTGTACATCTTTTTTGCAGTCTGAGATGAATAATGGGAAAACATCCAGATGAGTTCTGAGTGTTTATTTTTGGAGCAAACAATTTCTTTATCACAGGTGGGTCTTAACAAAAACTTTCTGTACAAGTCATTATGAGAACAAAATAAAATAAAGACAGAATATATAAATACAGGTAGGAATATTACATGGCCGACAGACAAAATAAAGAACATGCATAGTGAACAGTTTGCAAAGAATACCATCGCGTCTGTTTCTTAGACCAAGCAACCAGACGTCTGGTGACTGCTGGACGCGTTTCCCTTAAACTAACTACAGATTTGCTTTAACTGGGAGAAGCCCCATTTATAACAAAAGCCAGGTGATTAATGGTCTGAAACTTCTGAAGGAATTCAGAAAGAAGAGTGAGGCCGAGCGCTGGCGGGTAAACGTCAGAATGTACAGGGCCGCGCGTTGCTGAAATCGTTTTCAGTACCAATAATTAAAAAGCTAAACTGTAACACATGTAAGTAAAGTCTGTACATTCATTCACTTAAATAATCAGAACCTGGTCATCCTCAGTGGATTACCTAGAAGAAAACACCCCTCAGCACAAAACTGCGAGTCCCATAGTGCCCATCCAAGGACTCAGGCTGAAATCAGGAACACTTACAGTTCCTTATGATTAAGCTGCTAGAAGTTAGCAAATAATATAAAAACAGTAAGTCTGATCTTTCTCCACAGCACGTTAGCTGTACCATAACAAACCAAATCATATGGAATAATGAGAATGTGATCAGATGGGGAAATCCCCTTCCAATCAGGAATCCGTGTAGCAGGGATCAGCATTCCCAGCCATGCCCATGGACTCAGAATACTTCTACCAGGTTAAATACCCAAAAGACTTGGTTTCAGTCAACAGCTGCTGCTTTTACCCATGAGCATGGCTAATGACTAGCTCCACTACTGAAACATTAAATCAGAGATAACCAGATGTTGTTAAAAGTGCACTTTCACAGCCAAAAACTCGGGCCCTTCAAATCAGCACCGGGTTGACATGTGCTGCAGATTACATGCAAGCTATTTAGCTAACGTGCAAAGAAAAGTGGGACAGTCAACCTGTTCACTGTTCCTTTTTGTGTACACTCCTTTATTTGTGGAGTCAGGGTTACTGGAGGTGCTGTGGTGAGGCGAGAGGAACTGAAGGAGGTCAGAGGGAACAACTAATACTGTGTTTGCATCGTCACAGGTCAAAAACAACGCCGGGCTCATTTTTTTCAGCAGATTCACATTTTTTTTGAGAGCCAAGAGTTACAGTGCTGTACAGTACATCCCATCCACTCACCACAGTCCCACTCAACAAACATGAGCATGTATAAAGTGAATAAGGCCTGGAAATGTCTCTTCTAGTGTCTCGGATCGCTGTTTTCTCCTGATTCCAAGCAGGGAAACCATCTTCAATATTTACAAAAGAGCTCCTCTTCAGATAAAGTCACCCACCACACTTCGACTGAGCAGCAGCCTCGCAGATGGACGCACGAGAGGTCACAAACTGGCAACCAATGTTGTCTTCTGTTTGTGAAAATATGTTCAAAGAAAAACAATTTTCAAGACTGATACACAATTCAGTGTGTAAATACAGGCAACACAACTCGTCAAGGGCTCATCTCCTACTGCCTGCTGAGTCTGGATTCCAAGGCAAATTCAGTCAGCTTTAACTGTGCAGTTTAAGGGCAGTTTCATCTTTTATACCTCAAAATAACCATCTGCAGGCAGTCTGAAGGATTGTCTACACTGTGTCTGGGTAACCTGTCACCTTGTTGACTTTGTTTTCATGAAAGGAGGATTGAGTCTGTCCAGCCTCTCTACAGTACAAATCACTATTAAAAAACTACAGCTGACATAAAGCTTCTATGAGCCCTGACCATAGTCAGTAAAACTAAAATAGTGACCAAAAATACTCAAACAGTGCTTTCTTTTCCAATCACATTGTTCCCTCACACACATTTTGTCTTTCAATATTTGGTTGTAATGTTCCCCGAACTAGAATTCAGCCCAAAACCCGATAAGCTTAATACCATCACTGGGCCAGCCAAATGACACTTCATCCCAAACTGTAGGTGATTGGACAAAAATGTCTCTTGTACAGTAACATTTCCTCCACCCCGATGAGGAATATTTCATGACATTATGTGCCAACTCCTTATCCTATTTCATGTCGTGGCTCCAGGAGGAGCAGGCTTCCATTGACAAAATGTGGTGTGGAGGTTGTGGGGACCATGGAGGAAGAGCATTTCCTAAATCTGAGAACTCGTAGCGTGCTAAGTGACTCCCCACCAAAAACCTACCCAATGTTTCAGTCTGGGGAGGAGAAAGGAAGCCAGTGATGTGCAGGGAGAAGTTATGCTGAGGAGGAGGGGAAGCTCAGAGACAGAGAAGTATGAAAGAAGCGTGGCTATGTCCTGGCAATCCTTTGAATGCCGCCTGTCTACGGGATTCACAACGGCAACCTCCCTCCATTAACTGTGAGAGGAGACATCTGAGGAACTGCTGCTGTTGCTGTTGGTCGTCTGGGCCCGTTTGATGTACAGGTTCAGCAACTTCATCTGCAAACAAGCAAAGACACGAGCTCTTAGCTTCACCTCAGCACAGTGTCATCCTGTATGTTGAGCAGCAGCACGTCTGGTATCTCTGCCAGCTCGGGATATGTTCATGTTCTCTCAGAGACCTTCATTTTGAAGAAACCTTTTGGGGTCCCACTGGATGATGGGAAATCAAAATCTACTTTATCATGTACTGTGTAACACCTTAACACCTTAAATCAATGCTATGTGTCAGAGTTGTCAGTAGTTGGGGAAACACTGATGCACGTCATTCCTACACAAATACAATGAGGATCCGAGTCAATGAATATCAAACCCTTATAGGAACCGTGTTACAACAGCATTTCCAAAGTTTCTCAGTGAAGAGATGTTTTACTTTTGTTACTTTGGGGCTTCTGTTCAAAGGTTTTCATATGTAACAAAGATCCAGTTAAAACAACAGGGGAACAGGCCTCGAAGATTAGATGACAACAGAGCACCAGCTGAAAAAAGGTCCCAGGTCAAAGTCACAGCATACTGAAAATATACAGCAACAAACTACTATACTAAGTGATCTGGTAGACTTGGAACAAGGAGGCCATGAAGAACGGGCTAAAATGACACGTGACAGGATCCAAACGCTGCTCAGAGGGAACCCAAACAGGCTGGAGGACTTTAGGGAGGACGTACAGAGTATTAGGGAACATTTCATAAAGGCGATGCAAACATTGGCATTGATATGCTTTTCATTACTACGACTTTCTTTTTATACACTCCCTGACCATTTTGGTTACCTCTGCTGATGAAGGAACAGTTGTACTAGCTGGATGTGGGTTAAATACTAGATTGATGAGACAAAATGGTTAGGTCTTTTTGCCATTTCAAAGTAAGGAGACTAACATGTGCATTCAACTGTATTTACCATTTCCACTTCAACAGTCAGTAAAATATATCATGGAAATCTATAGAAATGTGTTCAATTTCATTCAGCTCGCAGGAGCACGTGTAGTTAAAGTAGGGCCCTGCGCCATATAAATGGATGAAACCAGCCTGGGTAGATGACAAGACTCTGTATCTGCTGAGGTGGTCGACGTACCTTGCTGCCCGTGAGCTGTGCCAGGTGGGGTTTGAGCTCCTCACCAATCACAGAGTAGATAGCCACCAGACAGAAGACACTGGCCTTGCGAACGCTGCTCTCTGTGATGTCATAACCCTGCATAGATACACCGGGCACACCACACCCACACACACACACACACACACACACACATACATGGACACATGAAGGTTTAGCAGGAACATAGGAAAGGTCACAAAGACCCAGGGTACATGCAAATATCTCCAGGGCCAAATAAGGAAAATACTTCTCATTGTCTAAATGTGAACACTGTCTACTTAAGTCTGCCTTTTTGGGAGCAGACACAAATGTTGCTGTTCCTTTGGCCGGCAGGATTCCTGCTCCGGTGTTATTTAATCTATATGAATTAGGACAAAATGTACCACAGGTGTCTAGCAAACTACAGGTGCTGGTCATATAATTAGAATATCATCAAAAAGTTGATTTCTTTCACTAATTCCATTCAAAAAGTGAAACTTGTATATTATATTCGTTCATTACACACAGACTGATATATTTCAAATGTTTATTTCTTTTAATTGTGATGATTATAACTGACAACCAATGAAAACCCCAAATTCGGTATCTCAGAAAATTAGAATATTGTGAAAAGGTTCAATATTGAAGACACCTGGTGCCACACTCTAATCAGCTATTTGACTCAAAACACCTGCAAAGGCCTTTAAATGGTCTCTCAGTCTAGTTCTGTAAGCTACACAATCATGGGGAAGACTGCTGACCTGACAGTTGTCCAAAAGACGACCATTGACACCTTGCACAAGGAGGGCAAGACACAAAAGCTCATTGCAGAAGAGGGTGGCTGTTCACAGAGCTCTGTGTCCAAGCACATTAATAGAGAGGCGAAGGGAAGGAAAAGATGTGGTAGAAAAAAGTGTACAAGCAAAAGGGATAACCGCACCCTGGAGAGGATTGTGAAACAAAACCGATTCAAAAATGTGGGAGAGATTCACAAAGAGTGGACTGCAGCTGGAGTCAGTGCTTC